TATTAAACACTTTAAAGATATCTTGTGCTGCAGATTTGTCTAATGCAATACATCATTTGATATCTTTACTGCTGCTTCCATAGTGTTGAATAGCAAACTAAAGTCATAAACAACTTCAATCTTTTTTTCATATATCATGATGTTACTTATTGGTCTGGTGGTGAGAATTTTTGTTTTCTTTACACTGAGATACTACTCATATTGAAGGCTGTGATTTTGATTGTCATCAGTAAGTATTTTAAATCCTCTTTGCTTTCAGCAAGTAAGGTTATAGCATCAGCATATTGCAAATTGCTAATGAGTCTTCTTCTGATATTGACGCCATGAGCTTCTTAATATAACGCAGTCTCTCAGGTTATTTGCTCAAATAAGAGATTAAATAAGTATGGTGAAAGACTTCAGCTTTTCTAATTTGAAAAGATTCAGTATCCCCTTGTTGTGTTCAAATGACTTCCTCTTGGTCTATGCACAGTTTCCACAAGAGCACAATTAAGTGTTCTGGAATACTCATTATCCACAATGTTGCCCACAGACTGTCATGATTCACACAGTCCAAAGACTTTATACAGTCAATAAATCACAGGTTAACTTATTTTTGGTATTCTTTGCTTCAGTCTAGATCCACCTGATGTCAGCAGTGATATCCCTCATTCCAAGTCCTTGTCAGAATTCAGCTTGAACCTCTAGTAATTCCTAGTCAATGTATTATTGTAGCAATTTTAAATTAACTTTAGCAAAAATTTATTTAAATGTGATATCGATGATATTGTCCCATGATTTCCTCTCTCTGTTGGATTACCTCTCTTTGGAATTGGCACAAATGTTGATCACTTCCAATGATCTGGCCAGATAGTTGTCTTCCAAATTTCTAGACATAGATGAGTGAGTTCTCCAGTGCTGCATCAGTTTGTTGAAGTATCTCTATTTTCATTTCATAAATTCTCAGAATTGTGCCATCAAGTCATAACTGACTCATAGCAACCCCATGTGCAGCAGAACAAAGCAATGTCCAATCCTGGGCCAACCTCACTACCGCAGTCATGCTTGACGCCATCAATGATGCCACTTGGCCGATCCATCTTGCTGGGAGTCTTCCTCTTTTTCTCTGACCCTCCATCTTACCCAGCATGACATCCTTCTCCAACGACTGATCCCTCCTGACAATATGTTCAAGGTATGAGAGACGAAGCTTAGCCATCCTGGCCTCCAAGGAGCACTCTGGCTGCACTTCTTCCAAAACAGATCTATTGGTTCTTTTGGCAGCCCATGGCACTTTTAGTATTCTCCTCCAACACCACAACTCAAAGGCATCAATTCTTCTACGATCTTCCTTATTCACTGTCCAGCTTTCACATCCATATGAGGTTATTGAAAATACCATGGCTTGGTTCAGGTGCATCTTAGTCCTTAAACTGACATCTCTGCTCTACAACACTTTAAAAAGTTCTTGTGCAGCAGATTTGCTTAATGCAATACGTCGTCTGATCTCTTGACTGCTGCTTCCATGAGTGTTGATAGTTGATCTAAGAAGAATGAAGTCCTTGACAACTTCAATCTTTTCTCCATTGATAAGAATGTTGTTTATTGGTCCAGTGGTGAGGATTTTTGTGATTGGCTCTTCCTAATATGCTATCTTTTGAAATAGTTGATCATCGACCATTTCTTTTTGATACAGTGAATCTGTGTATTCCTTCCATGTTCTTTTGACGTTTTCTGCATTATTCAGTATTTTATCTATAGATTCCTTCAATATTGCAAGTCAAGGCTTGAATTTTTTCTTCAGTCCCTCAGCTTGAGAAATGCTGATTGTGTTCTTCCCTTTTGGCTGTCTAACTACAGGTTTTTGCACATTTAATTATAATATTTGGCATTGTCTTCTCAAGCTGCCCTTTGAAATATTCTGTTCAGATCATTTACCTACTCATGTTTTAAAATTTGTTTTAGCATCTTTACAGATGAGAACAACCTTCAGAATCTCTTATGACAATCATTTTGGTTTCTTCCTTCTTTCTGGTCATCTTAATGATATTTGCCCTCTTCCTGTGTAATGTTCTTGATGTTATCCCACAACTCTTCTGGTCTTTGGTAATTGGTGTCTAATAGATTTAATCTGTTTTTGACATGATCTTTAAATTCAGGGATACACTGTAAGTCAAATTTGGATTCTCATGTACTTGTTTTAATTTTCTTTAGCTTTAGCCTGAACCTGCATATGAGGGATTGATGGTCTGTTGAACAGTCTGCCCCTGGCCTTGTTTTGGATGATGATATGGAGCTTGCCCACAATCTCTTCATACAGAAGTTGTTAATTTGATTTCTGTGTATTCTACCTGGTAAGGCCCATGTGTATAGTTATATTTTATGTTGTTTAAAAAAGGTATTTGCAATGAAGTAGTCATTGGTTTTGCAAAATTCTATCATGCTATCCCCAGCATCATTTCTATCACTAGGCCATATTTTTCAACTACTGATCCTTCCTCTTTGTTGCCAACCTCTACATTCTAATCACCAGTAATTATCAATACATCATGATTACATGTTTGGTGAATTTCTGACTGAAGAAATTGCTAGAATTCAATTTTGTCATCACTGGTTTTAACTGTCAGTGTATAAATTTGAATAATAGTGGTATTAACTGGCCTGCATTGTAGGTATAAAACAGCATTAAACTTCCAGATTGATTTTGAAATATTCTTTTTTGATGATGACTGCAATGCTTTTCTTCTCCAATTTGTCATTCTTGGCATAATAAACCAAATTGTCTGATTTAGAATGGTCAAATCCAGTCCATTTCAGCTCACTAATGCCTAGGATATCAATGTTTATACATTTTGACAACTTCCAGTTTTCCTAGATTGCTACTTCGTACACTCAATGTTCCAATTATTAATGGATGCTTACAGCTATTTCTCTTCATTTAGAGTTGTGCCCCATCAGCAAATGAAAGTCCTGAAAGCTTTACTCCACTTGTGTCATTACGGTCATCTCTACTTTAAGGAGGCAGCTCTTCCCTAGTGGTATTTTGAATGCCTTCCAACACAAGGAACTCATTTTCCAGCCCTATATCTGACAATATTCTTGTGGTCTTCATCATGTTTCAATATTCTGGTGCTATCTGGCACTGCTATTCCTTAAAATTTATGTGGCTAAGTATTCAGAAGAACTCTGCCTCTTCTTCTTCTAGATTGTCTTATTCTGGATGTTAGCTGAAAACTGTCCACCAATGGTAAATCCTGCTGATATTTAAAATGCCAGTGTCATAGCTTCCAGCATCATAGCAACACAGAAACCACTATAGTACAGGAATCTCACAGGTGAATTGTGGATATCTATATAAGGAGCTCTGGTAGTGTAGCTATTACGAATCAGGCTGCTAATCTCACGGTCAACCTTGTAGTCAGTAATCTAGTGCTGATCCTACAGTGTCACACCAGGACTCCAGATTCAAGGTTTGTTTTATTGTTGTTAAGTGCCCTGGAGTCAGGAGCGACTAGTGAGTTTGAACCACTGACCTTTCAGTTCAAACTGACCTTGCAATCCAGTACTTAACCTATAGAGCCATACTAGGACTCTTTAGGGACCTCAAGGTTATTTCATGAGCTAGGCAAGTAAGTCCCCCAGGCCCAATAGCTGTTATCTCTTACTGTCACCTCCACCAATTCAGTGCTGTTTGGAAACTTAATTTGCCTTGCTCTAGGAGTAGTGGTGTTGGAGGAGAATACTAAAAGTGCCATGGACTGCCAAAAGAACCAATAGATTTGTTTTGGAAGAAGTGCAGCCAGAGTGCTCCTTGGAGGCCAGGATGGCTAAGCTTCCTCTCTCATACTTTGGACATATTGTCAGGCGGGAACAGTCGCTGAAGAAGGATGCCATGCTGGGTAAGATGGAGGGTCAGAAAAAAGAGGAAGACCCCTAACGAGATGGATCAGCCAGGTGGCATCATTGATGGCGTCAAGTGTGACAGCAGTAGTGAGGTTGACCCAGGATCGGACATTGTTTCGTTCTGCTGTGCATGGGGTCACTAAGAGTCGGTTCCGACTCGATGGCACCTGACAACAACACAATCTCACGGTCAGCAGTTGGAAACTACCATGTGTTCCGTGGGAGAAAGATGAGGCTTTCTGCTCCCGTAAAGATTTATAGCCCCAGAAACCCTGTACAGGGTGGCTATGAGTCAGAACTGACTCCATGGCACATAACAACAACAACATAGTGTATATGGGAGTCCTGGTGTGGCACTGTGGGTTAATGCGCTGGACTGCAAAGTTGTTTAAATCGCAAGGTCGGTGGTTAAAGCTCACCAGTCACTACTTGAAAGCCCTATACAGGGTCGCTATGGGTCAGAATCTACTCGACGGCACTTAACAACAACATAGTATATATACGGAGTCCTGGTGAGGCGTTGTGGGTTAATGCATCTGACTGCAAAGCCGTTTGAACTGCAAGGTTGCCAGTTTAAGCTCACCAGCTGCTCCCCGGAAACCCTATATAGGGTTGCTATAGGTCGGAACCCACTCGACACCACTTAACAACAACAACATAGTATACATGCAAATTAAAATAAAATGCAGCCCAATGTTAATAAAAGAAAGACATACAGAACAAAATGCAAAATCATAATAAAAGACCATTTTTATTAATCTAATAGAAACTGGTGGAACCCCTACGACTGTGGTTCTTAGACACCATTAAAATTGGAACTCAATGACTCATAATTATCTTGCAGGCAAACAACTGTCCTAATAAGTGAACAATAAGATTTGTCAGGTACATAACTACTCAGAATAGTCAATCATTTGAAAACAAAAATGCAGTATTTGTCCCAAAAACAAGCCAAAACTTTGGATAAGAAAGAAGGCTAAAGAAAACAAGAAACGCAGGGATGGAGTGGTAAGAGTGCTATTACATTAAAGAATTTCCATCATGTTATGAAACATTTTTGTCAGTTGTCTAATGGAAAACTTATTTTCTCTGTCAAATTTCACCCAAAGAGCAATTAAGAAAAGAGAGAGAAAGACACAAAGCTTATATTAAAGAGTTACCTATTAAAAATACAGTGTGCTGTGATTGTTTTAATGTTGTTGTTGTTAAGTACCATCAAGTCTGTTCCGACTCACAGGGACCCTGTATAGGGTTTCCAAGGAGTAGCTGGTGGGTTTGAACTGCCTACCTGTGGTTAACAGTTCAGTGCTTCCCCTACTGTGCCACACCAGTACATATACATTAGTATGTATATATACTGCTTTTGCTTTTAGGTTAAGGCAACCAACTATCAGAAACCAAATTGCTATCTTTATGGAATTTAAGGGTACTTCATCAGACAGATTTTGCTAGTTTTATGAGTAGCTATCTGAGTCCTGGTGTGGTGCTGTGGGTTAATGTATCAGGCTGCAAAGCCATTAGAACTGCAGGGTTGGTGGTTCAAGCTAACCAGAAGCTCCTTGGAAACCCTATACAGGATTGCTATGGGTTGGAACTGAATCAACAGTACTTCACAACAACAATGGACATTAGGTGATATGTTAAATTCTGGTATAAGATAGAAAAAGTAAGTTTTACCTACAAATTAATAAATAGAATGACATGAATAATTCTGGTACAAGACTGTGTTGAAGAAAATAATGTCCACACTATGTTATATATAAGAAAAAAAAGATGTATTATTCCTACTTCCCACTATTATCAATACTCAGGAATTATAAAGGCCTGAAGATGTTTTCTCTATATAAGCTTTAGTAATGCCAAGATATTATGCTTACACAAGTAAAATTGCCACATCATGTGGACGCAAAACAAGATAATATCTTTTCCATATTAAAAATCTTTGTAATATCTCATTTGCATCTCCTTTAGTGGAAATTTTATTTTCATCTATCCAAAGCTCCAATGAAGATAGAATTATTGTAATATTAAGTGAAGTAAAAATCTAAAATAAAACACATATAGAAAATATGTTCAAACATTATGGTTTCAATAGTTTGGAAAATATACAGTAATATGAAAACTTTAACAATAACAAACATTTAGCAACTAAACTATAGGTTCAACGGTCTTTTAAAGTAAAAAATTGTGACTAATAATAGTGATATGTAACAATTTTATATGCTCTCCCTTAAGACTAATTTGTGTCAAGTGTTTTATATAATTAAAGTACTGTAACTTAGGTATGCAGTATCATATTTCTATTTTACTAATAAGAAAACAAAAACTTAAAATTGTTAGGCAATTTTCTCAAGTTCACTAAAGATTTGTATTCATTCAATGTCATAAAACAAGCTATAATAATTGCTTAAGCTGTACAAACAAATGCAAAGCTCTCATAAGCAAACACTTACAGCATTGATCAATCCAATCAATTGGAAAACTTTTTCAGTGACAACAGCTGTATCAGAACCCAGGTGATCATACTGAAAAATATAATTAACTTTTAGATTTAAGTGCACATTATTTATTATTTAATGATAGCAATTCTTCTGTATAAAATTTAATATTGTGAAATAGGATACTGATTATTTTATCAAAATATTACTTCTTAGATATTTTATTAATAATAAAGCCATGTAATAAAAATATGTGAAAAATTGGAAAGGACTAAATATGCAAAAATATAGTTTATTAACTTACTGATAACGATTTTTAAAAAAGATATCAGCTGTACATTATAATATTTAAATATTAAAACACGCATTTCCCACAGTAAAAATCTTAAATCATAAATATTAAAGATTGAACACACCTATTCAAATTCATGCCTGCCTGTAGCTTCATTAAAACAATTTAAAAACCATCCATAGAAAGATAACATCTCAAAAAAATAAAAAAGTTAAAAGTAAAAATCAAAATTTGAAAAAAGGAAAACATATAATATCTAATATATTTGAAGCAGCAAAAGTACTACAACCTTATTCATTTTATAAATCCTAAAATACTCAGAGATTGGCTACATCAGTTACTCTGAAAATGAGAGAAAGTGGTGTTAAGAGGAAATGGATTGTTTTAAATACAGTCTGTTTAAAAAGTGTATGAGGGAGAACATCTAGAACGTCCACTTGAATGGTTTCATTTGAATAGCATTCTCAACAAAATTATAGAAATGGAGATTGACTAGTGGTTTCCAGAGATGTGGGAAAAGCAAGTAAGAGGAACTGAGTGTGACACCTGGTGTGAGACTGTAGGATCAGCACTGACTACAAACCACAAAGTCAGTTGTTCAAAACCACAAGCTGCTCCTTGGGAAGCCTACATAGGGGATCTATGAGTCAAAACAGACTTGATGGCATGTAACAACAACATGAATAGCAACACAAAACATCAGTGGAGTGACAGAATCATTCTGTATCTTGACTGTAGCAATGATAATGTCCTGGTAGTAATATGGTAGTTTGATACTTTTAGATGCTACCAATTGAGAAAAATGCTGGTAGGTTCAAATGATCATTTTGTTAAGCGTCCAATGCTTAAATCACTGTGACACCATTGATCAGTTATCTAAAAAATAATTAATCAAAAAATTAAAGAATTAAATGAAAATACAGATCTGCTAAAGTATAAGAAAGCCCTCATATGGCACTGTTGGATAAGAACTGAACAAGTAACCCCAAGGTTAGCAGTTCAAACCCACTAGTTGCTCTCAGAAACCCTAGACAGGGTCACAATAAGTTGGAACCAACTTGAAAGCACACAATAACAACAAAAATATAAGCACTGAATTGCTAATGACATGGGGTTCAAACCCACCAGCTGCTCCTTGGAAACAATATACAGGTTCACTGTGAATTGGGACTAACTCAGTGGCACTGAACAACAACAACAAAGTATCAGAAATTATCCACTTATGACAAAAGGAGATAATAGAAGAATAGACAAAATCGTTATGAAACCTGCAGAAAACAAAAATCAAAATGACAAGCATAAATAAAACAAAATAAATGAAATATTAAATGTGAAAGAAGAACTTTACAAAAGGTATACTATAGTCACAAAGATAAAAATAGCTTGAAAGTAAAAGGATTGAGAAGAACATACTATCCCCCAGAATTTAACTCAGATATTGTTGTTGCTACTGTTGTTAAGTGTCATCTAACAACAGTTCCGACCCATAGTGATCCTGTATTTCTGTGGAGCAGCTGGTGAGCTTGAACCACCAACTGTGAGGATCAAACCGACTTTGTAGTCCAACGATTAACTGTGTATTTAAAGTAAACTAAATCGGCAAAAATAAAGAACAAGAGATATCAGTTTACAAACAACAACAACAACAATCCATAGAGTAAAAAGAGGGAATAAAGTAAGTTAAAGAGCTTCCAAATGTAGAGAAATTCAAGTAGATTTCAAGAAAAATACATGGATAAATGAAATAAAATGAACCTAAATGCAACCCTAAAACTAAGCCAAGGCTTATTCCTAGCCTAGCCCAATCTCTATCCCTAATATTAATCTTAGACCTATCAATTATCTTAATATTAAAGGAAGTACTAACTCTAGCCTATTCGTAACCTAATCATAATCCTAACCATAACTCCTTACTCCAAACTCCCCTCAATAAAACACACTGAGATATCACTCCACACCAACTAGCACGTCCATAATAAAAAGTTTAAAATAAAAGCAAATAGAAAATACTATGCAAACAGCTTTGAAAGTTAATCTCTTCACTTATTCAAAAACAAACAAACAAACAAACAAACAAAACCCTAACTATAGAAATATATACTTCTAAATATAAATGAACAAAATGGAATAAAAACAAAAGGAAACACAGAATTGAAGAAAGAAATAGACAATTCACTAATAATAAATGAATAAATCAGGATATAATTTTCAGTAATAAATAAAGATACTAGGGAAAAATTGAAACAGAAAATTTGAAAAACAAAACAAAAGAAAAGCACTATAAATTAACAGAAAATCTATGGAACATTCTTTGATAAGTAAAATACACATTTTGCTTGAGTGCACATAGAACATAATTGAGAAATAGACTATTCAGTAGACCATAAACAAGCATCAATAAAGTTAAAAAATAAGTAAAAATATGAAACACATTATCTGCCTACAACAAAATTAAATTAAAAAAAGAAATATGTTTGGGAAATTCAAAATATGTAGCATCTAAACAGTGTAATTAAAAGCAATGATTTTTGGAGAAACTAGAAAATACTCAAATATTAATGAAAATCGAAACAACGCTGGTACTTTCCTCAAGATCATAAACTAGGCAAACAGGCTACCCAGACCATCCACAAAAACACGCTCAAGATCAAATGAAGTTAATATGGATGATAATCCTGGAAACCTAAGTTTGAAAGGAAAAGGTACACAAATGGACGAAATAACAACTAGGAGAAAAAACTGAACAGAATGTCAAATAAGAAGACAAATAGTGAATTGTCAATTGTCATGACATAACTTTAGGAGAACTGTGGTTCTGTAGGATAAACACTGGACTGGGAACCACAGGTAAGTGGTTTGAGTCCATCAAAAATCCCTCCAAAGAAAGGTGAGGCTTTCTGCGTCTGTAAAGACTTACAGCCTCAAAAATGCTTGACAGGGTCGCTGTGAGGCGACAGCAATCAGCAACAGCAATGACAACATAACATAATGTAGCTATTTTGAACTTTTTGCAAGCTGTGTTCTGATAGTTGTTGTTAAGTACCTTGGAGTCGTTTCTAATTTATAGTGACCCTGCACAGGGTTTCTGAGGCTGTAAATCTTTATGGAAGCAGAAAGCTTCATCTTTCTCCCGCGGAACAGCTGGTAGTTTTGAACTGCCAACTTTGAAGTTAGCAGCCTCATTTGTGACCACTATGCTACCAGAGCTCCTTATTGGGGCAGCGATTATCAATGTCAGTCACTCAGGACCTCACAACCACTAACATTGATGTGGCTATTGACCAGAAAGATGCAATTTTTCTCTTGTTCCCCACACTCTCCCAGTGACAGCCTCTATACACACTCACTTTGTGGTCAGTGACACCCTGTCCTCCTCCGTTCCACCTGAGCTCAAAGGCACATCTTCATGGATCAGATGTCTCCTGTGTTTGGAGGCACATGTTTTCTGCCTCTTGAGGTCAGCAGAACATGCAGTGCTGGCAAGTACAGTTCCCTCAGCCACCTCCTGGACTAGAGGAAAATCTCTCCAGGAGATTCCTTGATCCAAGGTGTCCTCTTGGCCCACAAGAACTTGTGGGACCAGGTAGGTGCCCTGCCTCCACCCACCTTCTAGACTGGCACTAACTCTGTTTCACCCAAGACACAGTTTTCTCAGACACAGTTTTCTCCCCTTGTCTTTTATTCCTGCTTTCTTTTGTCTTTTCACTTCTTTTCTTCTGTTTCTCTCTTCTCTCTTCCCTTACTAATTCTTTTTCTTATTTTTAAATTAAGTATTCTCTTTGATTTTCCCCTCCCTAGTTTGTTATTTTCACTTTTGTTCTCTTTTTTCTTCAGCATTTCTTTTTTAAATATTTATTTTCTTGATATTGTTAGATTTTTTTTTATTGTCTTATTTATTTATTTCCTTTGTTGCTACCATTTCCTTAAATATCTTTTACTGTCTGTTGTTGTTGTTGTTGTCAGGTGCCAT